ATATAAATTGATGGAAATAGTTAGCACAGGAAGCTTCAATTGCTAAGATGTAGAAAGGAGAAGTTCTTTATAGAATTGCCTTAGATTGGCTCTAACTAGCGTTTGTGTTTCTCTAGGAACCTAATATACCATATATTCCGGCGTATAACGCGCACTTTTAATACAAAAAATAACATTGGAATTTACGGGTGCGCGGTATACACCGAATATAAAAAATTATAGATTGAAAAAATTTACATATAGAAAAATACTATTATTTTAAAGAAATAACATACCTTTACCTATATACTTTATTGATTTTCGTTATTACATAAATAGTTCATTATATTCGTCTTCTGTTATTTCTTCAGGCACATCATCACAATCTGTTTCGTCTTCATCATTTGTGTTATCCTCATCCATAAATAAACAGTAATCTTCTGATCCGTCCAGATTATTTGAAATGCTGCATTTTTTGAATGATTTTCTAACCATCTCAGGCTTAATTTCATCCCATACTTTTAATATCCATTCGCACACTGTTTCCAAACTTGCATGACGCATATGTCCTCCTTTCTTAAAGGTTTTCTCGCCCTCCAACATCCAAGTGTTCCACTGTTTTTTTAAATTGGCTTTAAATGGTTTGTTTAAGCAGACGTCCAATGGCTGAACTAATGGTGTCAATCCGCCCGAAATAACTGCCATATCGGTGTTACATTCTTTCAACAATTTTTTTGTATTATCTGTAAGGCGGGACTTAAGCATGTCCCACACTAAAAGGCTTTCTGGTTTTCTATTGATACTAGACGAGATATTGCACATGTGCAATCCAAATTTTCGTGCGCGTTATACGAAGAGTATATCTTAAAATTGAAAAAAAGTTATTAGAAATTACGGGTGCGTGTTATACGGCGGGGCGCGTTATGCGCCGGAATATACGGTAAGTAAATTGTACTTCACATTTGGCAGACTGCGCATTTTAAGTTCCAACGAGTGGACAATCTAACAATCATCTGAAGCAGTTGTTTCTAAATATGCCGAAGTTTTACAAATCATTACCAAAAGCTAGTTTCGAAAATTTAATATTTCATGCCCAGAAAATCAGCTCTATGTTTGCATAATCTTATATATTTGAACAAGAGTTTTCAGCTATGAACCTTAGAAAAAATTCATTTCAGAAGTAGACTAACAGAAATGCATTTAGCCTTGTTCCTTAAAATAAGCACATCTTACTTCGAACCTTAATATAAGGAACTTTTAAAAATAAAATCGCAATTTCATTCATCTGACTAAATATTTAAATTAACATTTGTATATTGCTTTTTTTTTTTTTAAATTTTGAAAGTTTTACTTGGCCCACCAAACATTTTTTTTCTCGATTTTTGGCCCTCGACCAAAAAAGTTTGCCCATCCCTGCCCTATACCCTCAGTGATTTTCACTTACATAAATATACCAAGTAGTGTGAAACTTTGAAATGTATAAGTTAAACTACTACTAGATGTGCAGATTCCTCAGAATTGTTTCTTATTTTATTATACAATGAAACTTCAATTGCTCAAAACATCATCAGATTGCAAAAATATTTTTTGTTATCAAAAACTGAATACGTTTTAGTTTTAATCTTGTAAGTTTTTTCTTTTTTTTTGTTACCTCTTGGTCTGTAGACTAAAGTTTTGATAGAATGAAGACCAGCTTGATGAGTTGCAAATTTGAGTCAGTTTAGTATGAGCTGGATTGATAATGAATAATGTCATGAATTATTCATTATCAATCCAGCTCATACTGAAATGACTCAATATTTCTTTATTCATGATGAAATTTGTGCTCAAGTTTTGATAGCCATTCTTTCAAATTGAACTCATCATCCTCATTGTTAAGCTTTAGTTAAGTTTTAAATCAGTACCAAATTTACACTGTTGCTCGAAACCTATATGGAACTGAAACAGAAACCAAAATTAAAATGATGCAACAGCATGTGGTCAAAAATTACTTATAACAATCTTTTAATGTCCAGAACTCTGTGCACTCTTTCTCATATTTCAAATAAAAAAGTGAGAATGAACGTGAAATGCTACAACTTATCAGCCTGAAGTAAAAATTGGAATTGCATGTTACCACCCAGGGAGGAGAAAGCAGAATGAAATCAGTCACTACAAGCTATTGCAATAGTATTACAAATCCTTTTGCATTTTTATCTTTAGAATTTGTAAAGTGTAGCAATAGGAAAACCATGATTTAACCCATTTATTTGATTGATTTGTTAAACTTAAGAGTAATGAAAAAACAATTCTATGTTAAAACTATAATTTTCACCAGGATTTTGAAAATATTTTGAACCATTTAAACTTCGAGCTATGGAAGTTTAACTGCGTTAGTATTATTTTTAATTATTTTTTACTATGTTTTCTTTTTTCTGACAATTTTATTTATAAAATTCAATCCACTTGTATAATTGAGATTTTATGCTATTGTAAAACTTTTTTAAAAAAAACTTGCAAATTATGTCTATGAAGCAAAAAAATTCAATTTTAATAATTTGAAAACTATAAGTAATTGTTATGTTATATTTTTAATTTAATTAAGTTCTCTATTTATAAGAAGATAAGAACTGTTATTTAAAATAAAGCAATGAAAGAAAATATGAATATAAAGAAATAATTTTTTTTTTCTCGAAATTATAATTTTTGTTTTAATATAATTGTTAATTCTGTTTTTATATAACTGCATATAATCATGTGTGAATATAAATACTTGTGTACTGTTTAAATTACGCTATAAAAAATGCAAAAGACAGGCATTTACATTTATTTTGAAATTTAATTGGTAAAATTAAATTTTAAAATTTGTTCAATACTTTTTGATTTATAGCACAATTTTTACTGCCCAAGTTTTTTTCATTTTGTGCCATAATTTTTAATTATTTTTTGTGTTGTAATTTGATTTACTCATTAAAACTTATTTTGATCTATGTCAAATTTTTCTTAGCATTTTTAATGTTGGATTTATTTGAGGTAAAAATATCCGACCTAGATTTTTGAGAAAAAATCAAAATGATGATACAAAGTATACAATTCAATAAATATATTTGTCGTCTTATTTCAGCTTGCTCTTTTCCAGTCAAATTTTGTAGTAGACTTATTAAGAAAGCATTATAAAAATATAGCTTATGATATAGTTCCTATGAGTACAACTGGTGACAAAATATTGAATGTAGCCCTCTCCAAAGTAAGTAATAATTAGTTTTTCAATTTTTTCTAACTTGACTTATTATAGAAAAAAAAGTTATTTTTAATATCATAACATAAATTACATTTTAATTGGTTATGGTTGGCCCGAGAGTTCAGAAATAATATTGCTCGTCATATCCAGCAAAAATTCCATGTAAAAATTGGCACTTGTACTTACTCTGTTTATATGCCCAATTGAGTGTGTAAATATTTGATCAGAAATGCCTTAAAATGCTGTTTAAGTGTTCTGTCAAACTTTGATTATAAATGAAAATTTATTAAGCGAAGTTAGCTTATCCCATTTTTTTATTTTCCCAATCATGCTTATTTTTATTTAAAAAAAGTTATATTTTGATAACTCTAGCTTAACATGTTTCGAATCTTTAAAGAAATTTGACACTCTAAGGTGCTTTTTGTGTGTGTAAAATTTATTTAAAATTATTTCATCTTACTTAATATTCATGTTTTCTTTTACTATGTAACATTAAATTTCATAATTCTTAAATTTCATATATGAACCTAAATTTTATGAAATTGAAATTTAACTAAGGGTAGAGTGATATTATTTTAATAACTTTAGCTTAATATCTTCAACCTTTTAAAGAAATTTGACTATAAGAGGTATTTTCTTAATATGTAAATATTCTTTAAAATTAAAGTTTAATTAAAATTGGTTCTTACTTAATATTCATGCTTTTTTTTTTACTATTTTGTCTTTCTAATCAGTGAGGAGGATTATGTAGTCATTAAATTCTTCAAACTAATACTTTAGGTGTATTTATATGTTTGCAGTAATTTATATTTGAAAAAGATGTTGGAGCATGTTAAAATTTAAAAATTTTTGAAGAGTTATTTGGTGCCATATTTTGGCATTTAAATGCACTGGAAAAACTCTTCCATTAGGAGTTATATTTGCTGCTTCTGAAAAGTTATTGTAAAAAGTGCCAATTTTAATTTTAAAAGCACAGGCACACTCATTGGAAGGAAAAATATAAATCCATATTTTAAGCTTCTTTTTATGTAGTATAAATATAATTATTCTAAGATAAAAAAAATTTTATTTTCAAGAAAATGAATTTTAATTTTTTTCTCAAATGATTACTGATCTAACGCTTCATTAATATTATAACATCTAAGAGTCATATTTTGTTTTTCATAAAATATTTTAATAACGAACATTATCTAGTGCTGGCTTTAGTTTGTGGAGTTAAAAAGTGTTGCCCTTGAGAGTCTGCAATTATGAAAGAAATATTATAAAACTCGCAAAGTAAAGAATTTAATGAATTTGACAAATTCTTTACTCATTTAATTTAAATTTAGCTCATATAATTATTATCATGAGAAAAATAATTCTATTGAGACTGCTGATAAAGTCATTTATGTTAAGAAGTGTTAATTAGTTAAGTTAATTAGTTAATTATGTTAAGAAGATAATATTATATATATATATATA